TGTGCCGAAACCCACAGCACCTCTGGAGGACCATGCCGAAACCCATGGTCCCTCCGTTGGGTCACAGCTGGACAGGCAGCCGCTCGCGAGGGCCCAGGACCTGCTCTGTGGTCCCCAGCCTTGGCCTCTGTCCCCGCTGGCTTCTCCCGGCCGCCCCTCGAGGTTCCCCTCGACGCGACACGCGCCGGGCGGCCGCGGCCCCGCTGGGCACACGGGGTGCTGCGGTGTGGGAGCGCGCGGGCGCCTTGAGCGGCTCCACGCGCTGCCAGGAGCTCCGCGCTCCCTGCTTTCCAGCAGGAAAGGAGCAAACGTGCTGTTGTCCCAAAACAATCGGAGAACGATCTGCACAGTGTCACCCCCTTTGCAAGGTGCTCTTTCTGGTACAGAAAACAGGCAATAAATAAATAAAAAAAAAAAAAAAAAAAAAAAAGCCTATCTGCAGTTTTTTGGGAAAAAAATGCACAACTTATTTATCAGATCCAGCAAAAAAGTGCCAGATGTTCTTACTTAAAAAAAGAGAAAATACAGGATAAGCAAAATCACTCCTTGCCAGTACCTATTAATCAACCTAATTAGAGAAACCTGGAATCAGAACTCAGCACTTTGGAAGCAGAGCTGCAAGTCCGGCGTGCGGGGAGCAGGGTGCTGACGAGCAGACGTGCAGGCCCCGACGCCGCTTCGGGCCGAGCCCGCGAAGCAAACGCCCCGGCGCTGCCCGCACTGGGCGCAGGGGAGGGAAGCTCCGAGGGTGGGAGAGGACAAGGGTGCCCGGCAGCATCCCCAGGCTGCCGAGGCCGAGCACGGGGCCCAGCAAAGCCGCCCTTCTGCTCGGGCGCTGTCCCTGCCGGACACGGCAGCGCGTCCCGGACCCCGGCTCCTCCGGCCGCCGCTCAGAATTTCCTCCTTGCAGCCAGTAAAAGCAGAAGTGCACCAAAAGCTTTATAATAAAACCCAGCAGAGATAAAATGCAGATATAAAATAAACAAACCTTGCCACTCACTATGCATATGTGAGCGGGCTGAGCCGAGAGGCTTTGTCTTGAAGCAAGCCCCTGGGAAACGAGCCCCCGGGGGAGTGGGAACGGCGCAGCAGCGTTCCGTATTTTCACATTACCGTTTTGGGCATGGCATGCTGTGAATAGCTGCCTGTTTTCTCAAGGTCACCGTACTGATTTTAATTCTGCTCGTTGTATTAAGACTGCCCATCTATGTAAATGTTGCATTTTGTTCTCCTCCTGCTTCTGGCCTTTCCTCAATTAACATTTTCAAATAGTCCCACAAGACTTAAGAACTACCTGCTAATCACTGCGCTGCTGCATCGGGAAGCAAAGGTTCTGGGTTTCACCAGATGACTGAGCTTATTCATAAGCAGGAACTTCTCCACGGCAGTTAGGGCTCCTTTCTGTTCACAGATCATCAGGATTTTTGCTAATTTATCTGTCACTCAGAGCAGCTGCTCAGAGCAGCAACAGAGCCGGCAGCTCGAGCCATCCTAGAGCGACTGCTGCTCAGCCGTACCGGCTACCTGCAAACACAGCACAAACTCACCAGAATTAACAAAAAAAAAAAAGTCTTAAATACTTGCAGGCCTATTCCACATTTCCTGGAGAAGCTCCGAAGGGCAGGAAAAGGCTGATTTACTGTGGGCTCCCTGGGACATGGCCGCCTAACTGCAATCAGAGCGGCAGCGGTCAGTGCTCAAGGGGTTTGGGGGGGTCAGTGCTCGAGGGGGTTGGGGGGGTCAGTGCTCGAGGGGGTTGGGGGGTCAGTGCTCCAGGGGCCTGGGGGGTCAGTGCTCCAGGGGGTTCAGGTTCAGGTGGATGGTGACTGTGAGGGGAGCTGCGGACGGGCAGAGCCCAGCTCTGTGCCAGCAGCCCCGCTGCTCCCACCCACACCGTGTCCCTGCACCTCCTTCACCCACCTTTTGCTTATCTATAAAAACAAGATACAAGGAGCTTTACAAACCTATACAACCAACTGTATAGCCTTGACTATACATTTTTAATTTGATATTTACCTTAGAGTCCAGTAGAGTAGCTAGAGTTTTCCGCACTAATTGCTGGGCCAGTCTGCAACCTTTACTTGGGGTTGCAGGGACTTTTTTACTTTCTATTATTGCATTTGTTTGTTTAGCAAGAAAATCAAACGGGGAGGGCAGCGCGCGTGCGGCCGGCGAGGCAGCTCCGTGCGCCCCTTGGCACGCGCGTGCCCTGCGGCGCGGGCCGGCCCGCGCAGCCGCTCTCCCTTCCCCTCCCGGCACGCCACTTCCATTACTGGTGTAAAATTAAGCAATAAGCTCTGACAGACAGAACATAGCGGGCAATTATCCGCAGCCTCAGGTGGCGTGAGCAGCACGAGACGGGCGCCTGCGGCCGCCCGAGACCCTGCTCCGTAATCGCCTCGCAGAGCGTGGCGGGAGCCCTGCTCGCTGTTCCCGAGGGGCCTCCGGGGTCTGGCCTCGACGCGGCCCCTTTGACACCTCTCGCGAGGTGCCCGGCGCCGCAGCAGCCGCCCGGCCAGCCCGTCACGGCCCCGGGCACAACGCGCTGCCCCGCGGCACCGCGGCGCGAACGCGGCGCGCCGAGCAGCGGGCCCTGCGCCGCGGGCATGAATATTTATAAATGGGCACGTAATGCTGAAAACACACTCAGATAAAATATTAATATGGCACATGTCATAACAGCAATCTAAATAGGTGCGAGTGATAGTGCTAGAGCTCAGCCCTCACCACTCTCCCGGAGAGGTCTGCAAATGGTAAACAATATTAAGAAATGAATCTTCCGAGCCTTCCTCTGGAGTTTTTAAGCAAATATTTGCTCAAAACTCACTTAAAAAGCCCTGCTCAGTGCTGCTGCGTGTACCCGGGCCCCGGCGGGCGCAGCGAGGTGGCCCTGGGGACCGGGAGCGCGCGGGGATGAGCAGCCTCCACTACCAACGCGCTCTCCAGAGCCCCATTTACCAAGCGAGAAAACTGACAGGGGAATAAAAGCCGGTTTCAACCACGAAAGCGATAATAATAACAGCACCTCCAGTTATACGTTACATCACACTTTCCGTCCCGAGCCCTTCAAGTGCTCTGTGCAACCAGGATCCGCCCGTGCCGCGGTGGCGGGCGCTTTTCCAGCGCTCCGCGCGGACCCGGCCGGCCGCAGCTCCCCTCCACAAGCCCCGCGCCGCTCGCCCAGCCCTCCGCGGGCGCACAGCGTGATCGGGAGCTCGCTGCCAACGACGGTTACACCGGCAATGACCAAACCAGGCAACTATTTCCATATATCCTAAATGCTCCTTTTTCAAAACTGCCTAGGGATGCATTTTCAAATGCACGTGACCTTGCTTTAGTTGAGACAGGCAGCGATAAACAAATAATTGCAGCAATTCTTAATTATATTTATAGCTCATCTATAAAAATGACAATTAAAACTTGAGAGGTCAACTATAAACGGAGGTTCTGGCAGCAGGACGGGAAGCACAGGGCTGTTTTTCTCTGGGACGAGCATCCTCCGCAGCGGGTCCCGCACGACACCTTCCCAGCCCGCCGCGGCCGTCTCTCCCAGTAACAGCGGGCAGCAGCAGCGGCTTCTCCGGCCCATCGCTGTGCGCCCCAAGGTGCCAGGTGGCACCAGCAGGACCGGGCCCTGGGCAGCGCTTACAGCAGCACGGAGCCACGCGGCGACGGACAGGGGGCACCTTGAGCTCTGCTTATCCCGAGACCTGAGCTTCCACACACCTGCGTGCTTGAAACGCTCTTGAGGAGAGCACCGACACGGCCGGGCTCCGTGTGCTGCTGGGCACCTAAGTGCCGAGCCTCCCCAGAGTCTGCAAGTCAACGGGTGGCTAGAAACCCAGCGTTTCTGGCCCAAATTCATTCACCTTGCTGGATCACACACACAGTCTACAGGAAAATTAATAAAGTGAGAAAAGTGGCTTTTAATCCTCAAGTCCTGAGGCTTTAGAGGATTACATTTAGCATGGATGCAAGGCAATCCGCGTGGCGCGCAGGTCTGCAAGCAGGCACACGCGCAGCACCCCAGATAAGTGCTTGTTGGACAAGACACTCGTGGCCAGATAGCAAAGTACTGCCCGAATTGCACACTGCTCTTGGCAACTGCGCAAGGAGATAAGGGAACGAGCAGGTCTTACAAACTGCTCACCCTAACCACGATTTGGGATGGCACATGGATTAACACTGAAATAACAGCAAGTAGTGCCAAAATTCCTGCTGACCTCCACAGTTCCCCATCTCCAGACTGTGCTCCGGGCTGCAGACACCTCTCCATGGGCACTAAGGCACTTGCCCCAGGGCTCTTGCACCAAGGAGGTTCCGAAGCCTCCAGCTCCGAGTGTCTTGTCCCAGCTTGTGGCTGCACCAGTCTGACCCAGCACAACCACTGTGTGTCCTCAAGGCGGTGGAGCCCCTGTCCCGGCAGCATCCAAGGACCATGCAGATGAGGTGCTTAGGGACACGGGTTAGCAGCTAAGGTGTTGAAGGGCTTACGCTTGCACTCGGTGATGTTGAAGGTCTTTTCCAAACACAGGGATTCTGTAATTCTAGGTGCAGGGAGCATCCAAGGTCCAACCTTTGGTTCTTGTCCCCTCCCTGCTGCCTCTGCCCGATCCTGGCCCCGCATCCCGGCCCTGCCCCACAGAGCAGAGCTGCAGCGACTGCCCCAGGGCAGCTCCGCGCTCCCCCGCGGGGCGGGAAGCCCAGGCCAGGGCTGTGGCCACAGCACCCTGTCCGTGCGCAGCGGGACGCGCTCGGGGACCTCCTCGCGGGAGCAAGTTTCCATAGCTGTTCCCTGCCCCGCACGCTGGGCTGGGCTCACGAGGGGCTGCTGGCGAGGCAGCACCGCGCCCTCGGCACAGGGAGAGCGCGGCACTGCCGAGGGGTCCCCATCTCCGGCCCGCGCTCCGCAGCCCCCCGGGACACGCAGCGCTCTGCGACGCAGGCGCGCTCGGCGCGGACGCCGCATTTGGGCCGCGCTCGCCGGGCCCAGCTCTTACCTCTATGCCTGTTGGTGGTCTTGTCGAACATGAGCATGGCGTCCTCCACCTGCAGAGAGCAGAGCAGAGGAGAGGCGTGTTAGCACACGGCTGCAGGGATGGGACGCGGCCCCGACGCCGGGAGCGGCGGCCTCGGCCCAGGGGCGACCGATCCCGCAATCCCTCCCCTGGCTCCGGGGCAGCTCCTGCCTTGGGAAACCCGCTGCGCTCAGCACAGCTCCTGGGGTAAAGCGGGGACCTGAGTGTAAGTTTTGCCACACTAAAACGCCAAACATCCAAGCAGCTTTTCCGGCTCTCCTGCTTCCCCAGCTAGACCCCTCTGAGCCTTCGTGCCCGGGGTGGAGGGATGAGGAAGGGCCAGGGAGGGGCCGTGACACAGGCCGAGCCCCTGCCTGCTGCAAGGGAGTCGCTGTCTGGCTGGGAAGCAGGAGGTTTGAGGAGCCCAAGCTGCGCAAAAGCTGCGTGCCGAGGGAGGGAGGCAGAGGCTCTCAAAGGGCCCTTTGAAAGCCAGAGGAAGAGGGCAGAGGGAGGAGGCACAAAGTTTAATTCGCATCAGGCTTGGAATTTCCACCTCAGGAGACAGAGATGACTGATGAAACGTATTCAAGTGCAACCAAATTGCTTTCAACTTTCATTACTATTTGCATGATTTATTCCACCTCCATTTAATCTGTGCAACCACACCTAAAATTTTGCACTTATTTTAGCAGGATGTTGTGCTGTAGTTTTCTCTTTTTTTTTTGCCAGCCTTCTCAGGTGTTCAGCCGCAGAGCCGAGGCTGCCCCCAGGCAGGTCCAGGGCTCCGTTGCTGACAAAGTCACCGGCTTTGGGTGCCCGCACTCAGTTAGGGTCTGTGCAACCCCAGCTCAGCACTGGGCTGCAGCGGGCAGGGGCAAGCGCCAGGGAAAGCTTTTATTCCATAGGGGAATCCACTGGCTGTTCAGAGTGCTTGGGGGGTTTCGATTGCTTAGATTTTTTTCAGTAATTTCTAGGAGATTTTCATTTTCTTATTTTCTGCATTCTGGAACAAGTGCCACGCGGAAAGGCGGGAACACGTTTGGGAGCGGTGCCAGCAGCGGCTTAGTGCGATCCTGGAATGGCAGCAGCGTGTGAGAGCCGCACGCTGGCTGCAAGTGCTGGTCGGGAGCAGGCTGGCCGCGGGCCCGTGGCGGGGCCTGGCGGGCCGGCACGCGCGGGGGCACGAGCACCACCGCGGCCTGCCCTGCCGCTGCACCCAGGCGTGCTCGGGGTAGAGCTAAGAAAAAGAAAAAAGAAAGCGACGCACAGTGCAGCAAAACCCTACGCTAGACCTGGACTTATTTAAAAATTAAAAAAAAAAAAAAAAAAAAAAAGCCTATCTGCTTAACTTGTTCCTAACTTTCTTCAAAGTGATTTGCAAAATGTTTTAGCAATGGCCTGAGATGGAGAATAATTTGGTTCCCTAATTCTGTTTAGTCCTTAATACCATCTCAAATGAGACCTAAAGATGCTGAGGCAACGAAAAGCACAAACTAAGTTAAGCCGAGCGTCATTTGTCCTGCTGTCTTGCCTGGCTGCGAGGAAGCAAACTCGCAGGTCTAAGGGACAGCACAACGCCGCTCGGGGCCAGGGCCAGGCCCGCACGTTCTGCTCCGGAAACCTGGGACACGGGGAGCCCGCACGTTTGTGCGGCTGGGCTCCGACTGGGCCCAAACATTCCTTTAAAGAGAAAAAATAATCAGTGGGGTGTGCTTGCAGCCAGCTGGTGCCCTTTCAGCAGCACCTAATTGCTTATCTTTTCTGTCTCCTAAGGTCAGAACACTTTATCTCCGTCTCTGCCCTTTCGGAGCCCACCCCACCCTGCGGTATTTTTCGGGCAGCTATTGTAGCAGGAGAATAGGCGCTCTCCTCCCCAGCCCGCCACACAATGAGGCTTCTTGAAACCTCCTCAATAGATAAAGTGCAACGGCTAAAGAAAAATTCTATTAACGCCTGGCGAAATAAAACATCTGAGAGCCGGGGAGACAAGCGAGAGGGGAAAATCAATATGGAGAGGGCAGCTCGCTTAGAAAAACTTTTCACTAGTTGCAAAAAGGTGGTGAGGCTACAGGAGGGAGGGAAGGGGGGAAGAAACTTATTAATTCAGAAAGCCCATCAATGGTATGGAAATCTGGCAGAACAGCAAGAACTGAAACTAGAAGAATTTGAATATACAAAGGGCTGAATAGAATGAAAACCCCACATTGCCTCACACACAGCGCGCGGTTCTCACGGTGCTCTGGGAATCAAACACAAGCGGCTTGTTCAAGTTTTCACCAAGGAGAAATAAGGGACACAGTCAAGGTAACCGGCAGCAAACCCTATAGTAAGCAAGTCGAGCCCTGGAAGAGAGAGGCTCCAGTAGATTTAGTGGCTGAGCGCGCCCACGAGTTAACCCCTTCCCTCATCAAGGGGTTCATCGGCAGAGGCCGGCCGCGTTTCTCGCTCTTGCCTCCAGCCGCGCAGCCGGCGCCAGGACACCAGGAGCGCTACGAAATGAACAAAGTCTCAGCACTAAGGCAGAAATGAGGTTTTTAAGAGCTGCCTGGTAGCACCGGCTGCACATCCCGAACCCATCGCACTTGTCCCGCTGCAGCAGGGCCCGTGTGTGCCCCCGGGTCAGACCCGAACAGAGCCGGCGCCAGGCTCCTGCAGGAAGCCCAAGTGGCCTTGGGGCTTATTTAATTCTTTTTCCATCGAGGAGGGCTGCAGGAAAAGGCTGGCATATGTCATTGCCTTAATCATTACCCAGGAGGAGGAACAGGGCAGCACAGGAGGAAAGAAAGAAAAACTGGAGGAGCCAAAGGCTTTAATAACACGGACGGTTCCCAGGGTTATTTAATACATGCCCAGCCTGTCCACAAAAGGATCCGCCAAGATAAACGTACCGGATTTTTTTCAACTTTAATGGAGGCATGTATTTAAAGCAACAAAACTAGGATGACCTAAATAAAATGACTATTAATTGCACTTGGAAAGGCTTTCTGATCTAAGCCAGTGCCAGAATACGCAGCCTTCTCCATCCATTCCTCCCACCCTCCTCCGCAGGGTTTCTAACCCCTCTGCCTCTCGGCGGGGCGGTGGAAGACGGGGCTCCGCGCCAGCCTGTCACTCCACGAGCCCGGAGCTCTGCAGGGATAAGCAGTCACGGAACAGGCCTCCCTCGGATGGGCACTCCAGGAAAGCAGGGAAAGTCTGGCCAGAGAGCGGGGCATTTTTTACAACTTCGTGCCCAAACTTCCTATACAAACGGGACTTTGCATCCTGGGCGAAGTCAGTGAAAACAGGCAAGAAGTGCAAGAGGTTTCCCAGGAGCGCAGGGAAAGCCTGTAGCACCTCTTGGACTGATGGACCTCTCCAGCTGATGGAGAGAGCGCCACGGGTGCCCCGCATGGTGCTTCCCGCGTCCTCCCTGGGTCCTTCCCGCGCGCTCCGGGCCCGGCCGCACCGCTAACCGCGGCTCTGCGGCTGCCGAGCTCGCTGCCCCGCCAGCTCCGAGGAGCCAAGCGCCCGCTGCGCGCAGGGCCCCTGCCCCTCACCGCGGATGCCCGTCCTGCGCCGCGTATCCCGACCTAATTCCTTACGTTATTTATGCGCACTGCATAACTTGCAAAATATTTTGCTTTCTGAGGCAGAAAAACCTCTTAGTCGCTAGTAACGGGTCAGGTGCTGGTATTTCATCACTCCTGCAAGTAAATCCTCGTGCTCGCCTGGACTGCAGCCGCTCCTGTTGAACTAAGACTAGGGCAGCACATGTGCTGGGCTGCAGGAACCCGCTGCTCCCCCATCCCGGGCCTTGGGGTTTTGTTCCCGTGGGATTAAGCCCAGGAACAAGGGCTTCGACCAGGTCCCCCTTTCCGTGGGGAAAGCCCCATCCCCAGGAGCGCCCTGCGAGCGGCGGCCCCGCGCGGGGCTCCCGGCCGGCCGGGGCTCTGCTCTCCGCGGCGAGCAGGGAGGCCCCTCTCCCCGGCATTGCTAACCTGCAGCATCGCCAGGGCCGGGGCACCTGCCTGCCCGTTCCCTGCAAACACCCCATGCCGCGGGCAGAGACCACCACGAGCCACGTGCCGGGACGGCCGTCGAGAGCCTCCCGCAAGCACCGCATCTCTCCTGACCACTACACGAGCTGTGCAATTAACCCCGACAATTCAAACTAGCACAGAGCCCTGTTGTTATGAAGTACCTTAAGTTGCCCCCCATGCACAAGAAGCCAAGGGCTCTTCCCTGCAGCACGATCCTAACGTAGGACACACGGGGAGACGGCTCTGACCAAGGGACATCCAGGGCAGAGGAACAGGATGGAGCTTAAGGACCTTCCTGCTGCCCTTTTGCCAATTCCTGCTGAATAAGGGTGCAGATAAGACAAGTATTACATTACCACGCTCCCTGGTGCATGAAGGGCTTTTTTACTGCCCGGAGTTTAAGAAAAAAATGAACGCATGAAGCATTGCCACCATCAGCACCAGGGAAAGGCTCAGCTGCAAAGGAAACGGCGCAGTTTATTAGCGAGGAAAAACTCATCTAAGTTTCCCTGCACTGTAATGAAAAAAAGTTTCATTTTATTTCCTGCTAGATCCCTTTGTCTTTTATTGTTCTTCTCAAACACCGACCTGCATACTAAATGTTCATTTCCAAGGGCTGTTTCTTCTAATCTCCCCCTCTTGTCCTGCCGCCCTCAAATCAAACACAGCTTTGAGCTCCACGGCTTTGATTTTTAGGGTTTTACTTCAGGGAAAAGGAGCCCCCAGCACCAGACCCTGACCGTACGTGAGGGGTCCTGGCAGCTGGGATATGTGTCCCACCTGGCATGAAGCAGGGAGAACAGGAGCGGCCGCAGCTGCGAGCGCTGCTCTTTGCGGGTCAGACCCGTCCTCGGGCTCTTCCGAACCCTGTCCCTGCGGGCAGCAGCCTTGCCGATGTGCACGGAGGGGCGTCCGAGCCGGAGGAGAGGGCAGCACGGGGGTCGCCGCTGCTGCACGGCCCCGCACGTGGGCTCGGACAGCCCCACATGGCCTGGCACACCCATCCTGC